ACGCAGCCACACACCTGTACAACACACCTGTACAACACGCACCCACATACCTGTACACAACGCAGCCACACACCTGTACAACACACCTGTACAACACACACCCACACACCTGTACAACACACAAACAAAAGACAAATATCCCCCCCCCCCCTCCCATATACCCTGAACAAACAATTGGGGCGAGTGCTGTTAGCGAGCACCTATGAAGGCCGGAACGGCACACGAGGGGGTGGGTGGCCAACACCACGCCTGGCCACCGCACCATTCGAGGCTGAGTCTACCTACACGCGCACTTACACACACAGAACACGGAACACGCACAAACACAGGCGGCAGGAAACAACGATTGCCAAAAAAAATACACGAAAAACCGCGTCTCATTGCTTAAACCCACCCATCACTTCTCGTCCCAAACTCCTCTTTGGCAATTTAGCATTCCTTCCACGGCCCGCTAACCCCCCCCCCATCGCCCTCCACCTTACTCCCCTCCCCTACCCTCCCCCCGAAGAAAGGTAGATTCAAGTGAAGATTTTCACGTCTGCGCGTCAATATCCAATTTGCATGTCACGTGGCGGCGGTGGTGGTGATGGGGCTGACAAAGAAGACCAGCCAGTGGCTGCAGTTGCTTGTACACCCCCCCACCATCACCCCCCCACCACCCACCGACTCCACCCAGCCTCCACCCACTACCCCACCCCCCACACCACCGCACACTCAACCCACAGCGCCCCCACCACTAAACCACTCCATCCTGCCTCCAGACACGCTCCGTAAGAGCCACCTCCTCCCCAAAAACCTCAAGACCCCCCCCACCCACCACCCCCCCCACGTCGCGTTAAAAAGGAGAAACCCGTGGCTGGGTCTCGCTCGAATGCCGGACTCGAGTGGGCTATGACTCGGGACTCGAGTGGGCTATGACTCGGGACTCGAGTGGGCTATGACTCCGGACTCGAGTGGGCTATGACTCGGGACTCGAGTGGGCTATGACTCGGGACTCGAGTGGGCTATGACTCCGGACTCGAGTGGGCTATGACTCCGGACTCGAGTGGGCTATGACTCCGGACTCGAGTGGGCTATGACTCCGGACTCGAGTGGGCTATGACTCCGGACTCGAGTGGGCTATGACTCCGGACTCGAGTGGGCTATGACTCCGGACTCGAGTGGGCTATGACTCCGGACTCGAGTGGGCTATGACTCCGGACTCGAGTGGGCTATGACTCCGGACTCGAGTGGGCTATGACTCCGGACTCGAGTGGGCTATGACTTCGGCGTTGGTGTTGCACCCGGGTCTGGGAGACCGCATCATGTTCCTTTACGACAACGGCGCTTTGGACGGCATCGGCAAGGGGACGCCGCTGCAGCAAGACAGCATGGCGCCCGCGAACGCTGGACAGACGGGTTAGTGTGTGGTGTGGTGCGGTGTGTGTGTGTGGGGTGTGTCGTGGTGTGTGTGGTGTGTGTGGGGTGTGGTGTGTGTGTGGGGTGGTGGTGTGTGTCGTGGTGTGGTGTGTGTGTGGTGTGTGTGGGGTGTGTCGTGGTGTGTGTGGGGTGGTGTGTGTAGGGTGGTGTGTGTCGTGTCCTAGGGAGCGATAGTGTAGCGGTTAGCGCTCTGCGCTATGAACCCGGCGACACGGGTTCGATTCCTGCTCACGGCCAACACCGGTGACGATTATCTGAACCGGTCCCGGGCCTCCCCTAGGTCTACCCAGCCTCAAATGAGTACCTGGTGCGGTGTGTAAACATTGCCACTAGGGAGACAAAGGCGGTCGGGCGTGGTGCTGGCCACCCACTCCCTCGTGTACCGTTCCGGCCTTCATAGGTGCTCGCTAACAGCACTTGCCCCTACAGTCTGTTAAGGCTATACGGGGGATCTTTGTTTTGTACGGTGTGTCTGTGCGGTGTGTCTGTGCGGTGTGTATGTGTGGTGTGTATGTGTGGTGTGTATGTGTGGTGTGTATGTGTGGTGTGTATGTGTGGTGTGTGGTGCGCGCGTGTGTGGTGTGTATGTGTGGTGTGTATGTGTGGTGTGTGGTGCGCGCGTGTGTGGTGTGTATGTGTGGTGTGTATGTGTGTGGTGTGTATATGTGGTGTGTATGTGTGTGGTGTGTATGTGTGGTGGTGTGTGGGGAGCGGTGGTGTACCGGCCAACGCTCTGCGCTACGAACCTATAGACCCGAGTTCGAATCCCTCTCACGGCCAACACCAGTGGCCATTATCCGAACCCGTCCTGGGCCTCCCCCAGGTCGACTCAGCCTCAAATGAGTACCTGGTGTGCGGTGTTTAAACATCGCCACTGGAGAGACAAAGGCGGCCGGGTGTAGTGCTGGCCACCCACCCCCTCGTGTGCCGCTGCGGCTTTTATGGGTGCTCGCTAACAGTACTTGCCCCAAAAGTCTTGTTACAGGCTATACGGGGGATCTTTGTCTTGGGGTGTGTGTGTACTAGTTGTGGTGGTGTGTGTTGCGGCAAGAGTTATGTTAACGAGCACCTATGAATGCCGACACGGCACACGGGGGATGTGGGTGGCCAGTACAACAACAGCCTTACAGGCTACACGGGGGGATCTTTGTGCGTGTGTGGTGTATGAGGAACGGTGGCGCAGTGGTTAGCGCTACGCCGCGCTACGAGCCCGGTTACCCGAGTTCGATTCCCCCTCACGGCCACCAACATCAGTGACGATTATCTGAACCGGTCCTGGGCCTCGCCTAAGTCGATTCGGCCTCAAATGAGTACCTGGCGCGGTGTGTAAACATCGCCACTGGAGAGACAAAGGCAGTCGGGCGCGGTGCTGGCCACCCACCCCCTCGTGTGCCGTTCCGGCCTTCATAGGTGCTCGCTAACAGCACTTGCCCCTACAGTCTGTTAAGGCTATACGGGGGATCTTTGTCCTGCTGGACATGTGAAAAAGAGCGTCACAGTTCATTGGATTTAAACGAATCCAGCAAGGGCCAAGTTCGATTGCCGCTCACGGCCAATGGCATATTTTGACCTTCCACCCCCCTCTAGGTCGACTCGGCCTTAAATGTGTGACCCGGTGCGGTGTGTATCGGGGAAAAAAAGGGCGGCCGGGAGTGGTGTTAGCCAGGAGCGCCTTCATCGGTGCTACTCCCTAACATATCTTGCCCCAACAGTCTGTCACAGGCAATACGGGGGATCTTTGTCTTTGTGTTTTATACATAGGTGGGGAGTAGTGGCGCAGTGGTTAGCGCACTGCGCTATGAATTCGGCAAACACCCGAGTTCGAGTCTCGTTTATTCTCTTGCCAATATATCGGACCATCTAAACCAGTTCCTGAGATAGATTGAGTGAGTGACCTGGTGCGATTTGTAAAATATCCGCACCGGGAGAGACGAAGGCGGCCGGTCGTGCGTGGTTCTGGCCAGGCCAATCCCTCCCTTTGTCCGCTCCATGATAGACGCCCTCCTCCTTAATCGGTTCTCGATTGCCGTGCCGGCTACACTGATGATCTTCATATTATTCACACACACACAAACACACAGACACACACACGCGTGTGTGTGTGTCTGTGTGTGCGCGCGAGAGAGATTGGTTGCATGTACAGTACTGTACGCACGATGGGGGTGGTAATGATTGCATCGATTGTGATCATACGTCGACGTCGTGGTTAATTTGCGTTTGTCCCGTGATCATCGTGATTTATACAATCATGAATATGTCGCTGATGGTTGCATCTAGACATCGTCGTCATCATCGTCGTCATCGTCGTATCTTCGGACAGCATCGTCGTCATCGCAAACGGCACGCGTCATCATCTCGATGAAATTTGACCGCGAGCCATGAAGGAACACCGCGGATACTCGCCGCGGTTGTGTGACAGTCTCCAAATCAATCAATATATTACCATAATAATAATCATCATCATAAATATTGTCATTATCATTGCGTGCTGTGGCATAGTCACAGCATCGTGTACAACACCAACACCATCATCATCATCCTATCGATGTCTTTGTCATTGCACCATAATTATCATCATCGTCGCCAACACCGTCGCGTGACCATCATCATCATCATCCCCCCATCATCATCATCGCATGCCTTCTACGTGGCTGGACTAGTACACGCATCGGTGTTGCAAAAGGAATGCGTGCGCCTCAAAAGATCACAGAACACAGCCATCGTCAGCATCACGATCACTGCATCGTCATCAACAATCTGCCACCTCCTCACTGGCCTTCAGCGGGAATCCAACTCGGGTCATCGGCGAGTTCTTAGCAGCGCTACTTCAGAGCTCCCCACAATGTGTTCGTGTGAGCGCATTCGGTAACACACAAAGACAAAGATCCCCCGTGTAGCCTTAACAAACCTGTAGAGGGGCAAGTGCTGTTAGCGAGCACCTATGAAGGCCGGCAAGTGCACACGAGGGGGTGAGTGGCCAACACCACGCCCGGCCGCCTTTGTCTCCCTAGTGGCGATGTTTACACACGGCACCAGGTACTCATTTGAGGCGACCTCGGGGAGGACCACGACCGGTTAGATAATCGTCACTGGTGTTGGCCGTGAGCACGTGTATACACACACGCGAGCACGTGTATACACACACGTGAGCACGTGTATACACACGCGCGCGTGTACACGTGGCACACAATCCACACACCATTTAACACGTAGCACACTTTCGCGACCAACATCGTCCACAAGAGAGGTTGCTTTGGTCAGATCGCGTAAATATAAAAACGTCGTACTCGGAGTGTAAATGTTGTGGCTTGGTTCTCCAACACAACGGTGTGCTGAACTAGTGAAGAATTGTCACGTTCTGTTTACGTAACAAACCCTTACTAGTTGCCTGCGTTGGGTGGTGGCGGTTTTAACGACACACACATTTGCGCGATCTAACGCAGCAAAAACCTCTGGACAATACACCATACATCCATCCGCGCGCGCGTGTGTGAACACTATAGTATCGTAATCAATCAAATCACCCACTACCGCCACGTGTGTCCACCCCCCCCCCCATCGCTTGACAGACGGCGTGAAGACCTCCTCCTCCTCCTCGTGCCCACCTTGCCAGGCCCCGCAAGGTTCCCCGACGGCCGCCACCCTAGGCTACGGCTACCCCTTCGGCGCGAGCGGCTACTACGGCTGCCGCGTGGGTCACGGCATGGGCGGCGCCCACGTTAAGGCGGCCTGCGGATCCGCGGCGCAGACGGCCGCGAGCCTCGCCTCGGGCTACGGGCCGCACTCGCTCGTCGACAAATACGTGCAGGACGTCTCCGTCGGACTACAACCGAGCAACGGTGTCGGCTCATCCGTTGCTGCCGGAGGTGGCGGTGGTGGTGGTCTCGGTGGTGGTGGAGGCGGTATCGGTGGTAGCGGTGGTATTGGTGGAGGTGCCGGCGGTGTGGGTGATGATTACACGAGCGGCCGGGCAGCCAAAGACTTCGCCTTCTACCCCAGCTACGGCAGCGCTTATCACCACCACCACCATCATCAGCACATGCCGGGCTACTTAGACATGCCCGTGGTGCCGCACGCGTCGCTCGCACCGCCGAGCGAAGGTCGCCACGACCCCATCCTTCACCACGGAATGGACGGATACCACCATCAGCCATGGGCGCTGCCCAATGGATGGAACGGGCAAATGTACTGCGCCAAGGAGCAGAGTCAGCTGTCGCACCTGTGGAAGTCGCCCCTTGCAGGTGAGGTCGGAGTGAATGCGAGCGGCTGTGAGCGTGTGGGTGAGCGGCGTCTGCACGTGTGTGAGCGGCGTCTGCGTGTGTGTGAGTGTCTGTGTGTGCGTGTGTACACGGGTGAGTGTCTGTGTGTGTGCGTGTGTACACGGGTGAGTGTCTGTGTGTGTGCGTGTGTACACGGGTGAGTGTGTGCGTGTGTACACGGGTGAGTGTCTGTGTGTGTGCGTGTGTACACGGGTGAGTGTCTGTGTGTGTGCGTGTGTACACGGGTGAGTGTCTGTGTGTGTGCGTGTGTACACGGGTGAGTGTCTGTGTGTGTGCGTGTGTACACGGGTGAGTGTCTTTGTGTGTGCGTGTGTACACGGGTGAGTGTGTGCGTGTGTACACGGGTGAGTGTCTGTGTGTGTGCGTGTGTACACGGGTGAGTGTCTGTGTGTGTGCGTGTGTACACGGGTGAGTGTCTGTGTGTGTGCGTGTGTACACGGGTGAGTGTCTGTGTGTGTGCGTGTGTACACGGGTGAGTGTCTGTGTGTGTGCGTGTGTACACGGGTGAGTGTCTGTGTGTGTGCGTGTGTACACGGGTGAGTGTCTGTGTGTGTGCGTGTGTACACGGGTGAGTGTCTGTGTGTGTGCGTGTGTACACGGGTGAGTGTCTGTGTGTGTGCGTGTGTACACGGGTGAGTGTCTGTGTGTGTCCGTGTGTACACGGGTGAGTGTCTGTGTGTGTGCGTGTGTACACGGGTGAGTGTCTGTGTGTGTGCGTGTGTACACGGGTGAGTGTCTGTGTGTGTGCGTGTGTACACGGGTGAGTGTGTGTGCGTGTGTACACGGGTGAGTGTGTCTGCGTGTGTGTACGGGTGTGAGTGTCTGCGTGTGTGTACACGGGTGAGTGTCTGTGTGTGTACACGGGTGAGTGTCTGTGTGTGTACACGGGTGAGTGTCTGTGTGTGTACACGGGTGAGTGTCTGTGTGTGTACACGGGTGAGTGTCTGTGTGTGTACACGGGTGAGTGTCTGTGTGTGTGCACGGGTGAGTGTCTGTGTGTGTACACGGGTGAGTGTCTGTGTGTGTACACGGGTGAGTGTCTGTGTGTGTACACGGGTGAGTGTCTGTGTGTGTACACGGGTGAGTGTCTGTGTGTGTGTAGCGGTTAGCGCGCTGCGCTATGAACCTGGCGACCCGGGTTCGATTCCCGCTCACGACCAACACCAAGTGACGATTATCTGAACCGGTCCCGGGCCTCCCCTAGGTCGACTCAGCCTCAAATGAGTACCTGGTGCGGTGTGTAAACATTGCCACTAGGGAGACAAAGGCGGTCGGGCGTGGTGCTGGCCACCCCACCCCCTCGTGTACCGTCCCGGCCTTCATAGGTGCTCGCTAACAGCACTTGCCCCTACAGTCTGTTAAGGCTATACGGGGGATATTTGTCTTTGTTGTGTACACGGGTGAGTCTCTGTGTGTGTGTACACGGGTGAGTCTCTGTGTGTGTACACACGGGTGAGTCTGTGTGTGTGTGTGTACACACGGGTGAGTCTTGTGTGTGTGTACACACGGATGAGTCTTGTGTGTGTGTGTACACACGGGTGAGTCTTGTGTGTGTGTGTACACACGGGTGAGTCTGTGTGTGTGTGTGTACACACGGGTGAGTCTTGTGTGTGTGTACACACGGGTGAGTCTTGTGTGTGTGTGTACACACGGGTGAGTCTTGTGTGTGTGTGTGTACACACGGGTGAGTCTTGTGTGTGTGTGTGTACACACGGGTGAGTCTTGTGTGTGTGTGTACACACGGGTGAGTCTTGTGTGTGTGTGTACACACGGGTGAGTGTGTGTGTGCACACACGGGTGAGTCTGTATGTGTGTGTGTGTGTACACACGGGTGAGTCTGTATGTGTGTGTGTACACACGGGTCTGTATGTGTGTGTGTGTGTACACACGGGTCAGTCTGTGTGTGTGTGTACACACGGGTCAGTCTGTGTGTGTGTGTACACACGGGTCAGTCTGTATGTGTGTGTGTGTACACACGGGTCAGTCTGTATGTGTGTGTGTGTACACACGGGTCAGTCTGTATGTGTGTGTGTGTACACACTGGTCAGTCTGTATGTGTGTGTGTGTGTACACACGGGTCAGTCTGTATGTGTGTGTGTGTACACACGGGTCAGTCTGTATGTGTGTGTGTGTACACACGGGTCAGTCTGTATGTGTCTGTGTGTACACACGGGTCAGTCTGTATGTGTCTGTGTGTACACACGGGTCAGTCTGTGTGTGTGTGTACACACGGGTGAGTCTGTATGTGTGTGTGTGTACACACGGGTGAGTCTGTATGTGTGTGTGTGTACACACGGGTCAGTCTGTATGTGTGTGTGTGTACACACGGGTCAGTCTGTATGTGTCTGTGTGTACACACGGGTCAGTCTGTATGTGTCTGTGTGTACACACGGGTCAGTCTGTATGTGTCTGTGTGTACACACGGGTCAGTCTGTATGTGTGTGTGTGTACACACGGGTGAGTCTGTATGTGTGTGTGTGTACACACGGGTCAGTCTGTATGTGTGTGTGTGTACACACGGGTCAGTCTGTATGTGTGTGTGTGTACACACGGGTGAGTCTGTATGTGTGTGTGTGTACACACGGGGGAGTCTGTATGTGTGTGTGTGTACACACGGGGGAGTCTGTATGTGTGTGTGTGTACACACGGGGGAGTCTGTATGTGTGTGTGTACACACGGGTGAGTCTGTATGTGTGTGTGTGTACACACGGGTGAGTCTGTATGTGTGTGTGTGTACACACGGGTGAGTCTGTGTGTGTGTGTGTGTACACACGGGTGAGTCTGTGTGTGTGTGTGTGTGTACACACGGGTGAGTCTGTGTGTGTGTGTGTGTACACACGGGTGAGTCTGTGTGTGTGTGTGTGTACACACGGGTGAGTCTGTATGTGTGTGTGTACACACGGGTGAGTCTGTATGTGTGTGTGTACACACGGGTGAGTCTGTGTGTGTGTGTGTGTACACACGGGTGAGTCTGTATGTGTGTGTACACACGGGTGAGTCTGTATGTGTGTGTACACACGGGTGAGTCTGTATGTGTGTGTACACACGGGTGAGTCTGTATGTGTGTGTACACACGGGTGAGTCTGTATGTGTGTGTGTGTACACACGGGTGAGTCTGTGTGTGTGTGTGTACACACGGGTGAGTCTGTGTGTGTGTGTGTACACACGGGTGAGTCTGTGTGTGTGTGTGTTTATGTGTTTGCGTATTTGTGGGGAGCGGTGGTGTAGCGGTTAGCGCGCTGCGCTACAAACCTGACGACCCGGGTTCGATTCCCGCTCACGACCAACATCAGTGACGATTATCTGAACCGGTCCTGGGCCTCCCCTAGGTCGACTCAGCCTCAAATGAGTACCTGGTGCGGTGTGTAAACATCGCCACTTGGGAGACAAAGGCGGCCGGGCGTGGTGTTGGCCACCCACCCCTTCGTGTGCCGTGCCGGCCTTCATAGGTGCTGCTCGCTAACAGCACTTGCCCCTACAGTCTGTTAAGGCTACACGGGGGGATCTTTATCGTTTGTCTTTGAGCGCGTGTGGTGTCTGTGGGGGGAGCGGTGGTGCAGCGGTTAGCGCGCTGCGTTACGAACCCGGCGATCCAAGTTCAATTCTCGCTCACGGCCACCAACACCAGTGACGATTATCTGAATTGGTCCTGGGCCTCCCCTAGGTCGACTGGACCTCAAATTACTACCTTGTGCGGTGTGCAAACATCGCCACTAGGGAGACAAAGGCGGTCGGGCGCGGTGCTGGACACCGACCCCCTCGTGTGCCCCAACAGTGTGTTAGGGCTATTTGGGGGTCTCTTGTCATTGCGTGTGGATGTGTGTATTTGCGTCAGGGAGTTTGTGTTTATCTGTGTGTGTGAGCTCGTCTGTGTTCGTAAACGTTGCGTTTGTTTATGGGTGTGTGTGGTGTACTGTATTGTGTGTGTATATGCGTGAGGATGGGCTGTGTTTGTGTTTGCGTATTTGTGGGGAGCGGTGGTGCAGCGGTTAGCGCGCTGCGCTACGAACCCGGCGACCCGAGTTCGATTCTCGCTCACGACAAACACCAGGTGACGATTATCTAAACCGGTCCTGGGCCTCCCCCTATGTCGACTCGGCCTCAAATGAGTACCTGGTGCGGTGTGTAAAATCATCGCCACTGGGGAGACAAAGGCGGTCGGGCGTGGTGCTGACCACCCACCCCCTCGTGTGCCGTGCCGACCTTCGTAGGTGCTCGCTAACAGCACTTGCCCCAACAGTCTGTTACGTGTATAATAAATACGTGTTGTGGAGTTATGTGTGTGTATATATTGTGTGTATATTATGTGTGTGTAGCGACATGTGTGTGTATATATATTATTTGTGTATATTGTGTGTATATTATGTGTGTGTAGCGACACGTGCGTGTGTATATATTATGTGTGTGTAGCGACACGTGTGTGTGCTTTAGTGTGCATTGTATGAACTGCGCATGTTTTACAATTATTATTCATGTAAAATACATAGACCTGTATATTGTTTACACTTTTCCGTTTACAATTGCATATTACGTTCACACACACAAAGTTGTATAACGTCCGTGCCATTTATTTATACATTGTGTATATTGTATATATGAGGTGCGTAATTATTGTGTGTACACGGCAGACATACGAGTGTATATGTACATATATATGTACACACCGCGTGTAAATTGTTAATGAAATTGGTATGTACATATGAAATATATGTTATTGTGTGTACACGGCAGACATACGAGTGTATATGTACATATATATGTACACACCGCGTGTAAATTGTTAATGAAATTGGTATGTACATATGAAATATATGTATTAAACGAGTGTATATATTATGTACAGCCTGAATGTACACTATACACGTAGTGTACATACATGCCATGTGCCCATTGCGTATTATATTCCGTATGTAATCGTTACGTGCATATCTAACAAGTACATACATATATATGTACATTCA